ATATATAAGTGGTCGGCGTGCCACACGATCCCATTTCATAATATATATAAGTGGTCGGCGTGCCACACGATCCCATTTCATAATATATATAAGTGGTCGACGTGCCATCCCATTTCATAATATATAAGTGGTCGGCGTGCCACACGATCCCATTTCATAATATATAAGTGGTCGGCATGCCACACGATCCCATTTCATAATATATAAGTGGTCGGCGTGCCACACGATCCCATTTCATAATATATAAGTGGTTTCCCGGCAAGGGAGAATACGACTAAGCAGTTAAATCACGGCAAGGGAGCAACAACAATAACTTACACGTCCCGGTAAGGGAATAATCACATCTCTTTCTTTTACGTTCATTTCTTACTTTTTAATCAAGTCGAAAATCGAGCCAACGCTCCAAAGAGTTTACACATCATATTTCCTTCTCATTCTCTTTATATCATGTAGAAACCATCAATTTAACAAGGAAGAGTCACTACAGAATCCCAATTAAGCACAAATAAAGACCCACGGTCATGCTAGACACCGGTGTATAGATACTCGTCACCATGCCTATACACCGTACTCAACATTTAACAATTAGCAAATAAGACTCTAATCCTATTCCCTCAAGCCAAAGTTAGATCAAACACTTACCTCGAATGCTCCAAACTCAACTCAAGCATCTAGTATAGCTTTACCCCTCGAATTCGGCTCCAACACAGTCAAATCTATGAAATAACGACTTTATAATATCAATAATAGCTAAACAAATCAAACACAATGCCTAAATATAGATTTCCAACCTTTCTTCCAATAATTCCAAAATCGACCCCGGGCCCGCTTGGTCAAAACACGAGGTTCGAACCAATTTCATGTTACCCATTCCCCCACGAGCCCGGATATACAATTTGCTTTCAAATTCGACCCCAAAACGAGGTCTAAATCGAAGAAAATCGAAAAACTCTAACTCTACCCTTTCCCCCCAATTTCCACCCTAATCTATGTGATTTAAGCTTGGAAACCTACTAATTAATGAAGAATAATGAAGGAAATAAGTAGGAAATTACTTACCCAAGTGCTCTTGAAGAATGGGGGCTTCAATGGCTTCCTAAAGTTTGGGAGAGAAGAGAGCTCGTGACAAATATGGACTAAATCCCGTAGCTACTATTTTGAAACTTAAAAAAAAATCACTGGGCGTTTTTGNACCCCGGCGAAGTAGTGACGAGGCTAGACAGGACCTACCAAAACAGCCTGTGCAGATATATATGTATATACAAGTGCAACGAAATAACAACAGAAATACCAATTAAGGCGGAAGGGGACATGCTTAGGGAAAATACAGATGAAAATAACTTATCAGAAGTAAACACGAAACTACATCAGATCTCATAATCTATATATGTGGTCGGCGTGCCACACGATCCCATTTCATAGTATATAAGTGGTCGGCGTGCCACACGATCCCATTTCATAATATATAAGTGGTCGGCGTGCCATACCATCCCATTTCATAATATATAAGTGGTCGGCGTGCCACACGATCCCATTTCATAATATATAAGTGGTCGGTGTGCCACACGATCCCATTTCATAATATATAAGTGGTCGGCGTGCCACACGATCCCATTTCATAATATATAAGTGGTTTCCCGGCAAGGGAGAATACGACTAAGCAGTTAAATCCCGGCAAGGGAGCAACAACAATAACTTACACGTCCCGGCAAGGGAATAATCACATTTCTTTCTCTTACGTTAATTTCTTACTTTTTAATCGAGTCAAAGATCGAGCCAACGCTCCAAAGAGTTTACACATCATATTTCCTTCTCATTCTCTTCATATCATATAGAAACCATCAATTAACAAGGAAGAGTCACTACAGAATCCCAATTAAGCACAAATAAAGACCCACGGTCATGCTAGACACCGGTGTATAGATACTCGTCACCATGCCTATACACCGTACTCAACATTTAGCAATTAGCAAATAATACTCTAATCCTATTCCCTCAAGCCAAAGTTAGATCAAACACTTACCTCGAATGCTCCAAACTCAACTCAAGCCTCTAGTATAGCTTTACCCCTCGAATTCGGCTCCAACACAGTCAAATCTATGAAATAATGACCTTAAAATATTAATAATAGCTAAACAAACTAAACCCAATGCTTAAATATGAATTCTAAGCTTTCTTCCCAAAATTCCAAAAATCGACCCCGGGCCCGCTTGGTCAAAACATGAGGTTCGAACCAATTCCATGTTACCCATTCCCCCACGAGCCTGGATATACAATTTGTTTTCAAATTCGACCCCAAAATGAGGTCTAAATCAAAGAAAATCGAAAAGCCCTAACTCTACCCTTTTCCCCCAATTTCAACCCTAGATTACATGATTTAGGTCTAGGAATTTGATAAATGATGATAGAAAATGAAGAAAACGAGTTAGATAATACTTACCCAAGAAGTTTTGGTGAAGGATAGCTCTAAAAATTGCCTATGTGCTCTAGAGAAGATGAACTCGTGTGTTTTGGGTGAAAAATCCCGTTACTGGTATGTTTTTAGGCGTTAAAAATAACTGGGCGAATTTGCCCTACGCGATCGCGTAAACAGGGATGCGATCGCGAAAGGTCCCACTGACTCGTCATCGCGATCGCGTGGATGGCAACGCGAACGCGTAGAAGAAATACTGGGGGTCCAAAAGTTTGGTCTATGCGAACGCGAGTCTACTGGTGCGAACGCATTGAAAGAAATGCTGAAGCTATGCGATCGCGTGACCGAGTACGCGAACGCGGAAGAGGAAAAAGCCAAAGAAACGCGAACGCGGGCTGAAGATTGCGATCGCGAAGGAGGGAACAACTGAGCAAAAATTGCAGATTTTCTGCAACTTTCTCTAAGGCCAAAAACATCCCGAACCACCTCCGAATCACTCCCGAGCCCTCGGGGCTCCTAACCGAATACACACACTAACTCAAAAACCTCATACGAACTTAACCGAGGGATCAAATCGCCAAAACAACATCAAAATCAATGAATCAACCCTCAAAATCATCATTTTTCATTCTAACTTCATAAACTTCAAATTTTAGATATTTAGGTCCGAAACACGTCAAATGACGTCCGATTTCGACCAAATTTCACAGAAAGCGCTTAACCCATATATAAGACTTGTACCGGGCGTCGGAACCAAAATACGAGCCCGATACCACAGTCTTTTAATCAATTTTCATTTCCATTTTCCTTAAAATTTCAGAAAAACAATTTCACAGAAAAATTCATTTCTCGGACTCTAGACCTCAGAATTCGACTCCGGGCATATGCCCGAGTCCCATATTTTTCTATGGACCCTCCGGGACCGTCAAATCACGGGTCCGGGTCCGGGTCTGTTTACCAAAATTGTTGACAAAAGTCAACTTTAATCATAACAATATTAAAATTCATAAATTTTTACACATAATTCATATTTAAACTTTTCGGCACGCGCCCGGACTGCGCACGCAAATCGAGACAAGTAAAAATGAGGTTTTCAAGGCCTCGGAAGCAGGGGATGAATGAGAAAACAGGTGATGACCCTTTGGGTCGTCACAAATTACAAGGTTGCTTTTTAGTTTCTTTTTTTATTTTAATTTATTTTCTTTTTAATTTTTTTATTTTTATTGTTTTAATTTTATAATTTTAGTTTTAGTTTTTAATTTCTTTTGAAATTTTAAATATATTTTTCTTTGTACATTATTTTTCTTTTATTTCTCTATCTTTACTTCTTGTGATTCCATGCAATTGCTTATATTTTATTTTTTATTTATTTTGTTATTCTATGTTTTGAAACTACACCTCCTAATATTAGAAATAATGAGTCATTAATAACTTGGCATATAATGAATGATGCAAATAAAGTGGAATTCCGTTGTTGAATGTGGTTATAAACTTATCATATTTCTAATCTTAAGTTGCAGTGGGACTTACTCTTATTATGTTGGAATTTGACATATGTTAAACTATTTTTTTTTTTTTTTTGAATTGTGTTATATTCATGGTTCCAATTTACTTGTTTTAGTAGTATTGGCTCACATTGCATGTTGTTCATTTTTTAGTTAGAATTGATAGATTAGTTTTGTCAAACATTTGAATAATGTTATGTCTATATTTATAAATATTAATTTATTTTATCAATCATGAATTCCATGATATTCTTACAAAACGTATATTATTAGTAGGTTTTGTAAGTATCTAAACTAAATATTATTAATTTAAAAAAAATATATATATAAATTAGTTTTACAATCTTAATTATAATTATACGATTACTAATTAATGTATATTTACGAAAAAATATACATCTTAAATTCCAAATATAATATCATTTATACTTATAAAAATTTATAGCCATATATTTATTATATTAATTTATAAGTTTTGATAATTACTTCATTTAAAATTTGATCTAACTGTGTAATTACACTTGTACTATCAAATAGTAAACTTGTAATTACACTGTAATTATACTATAAGAAATAAACAGTTCGTCGAAATTACACAACTGTGTAATTAAGCTGTGTAATTATACCAATTTCAATTATAGGGTGGCTTTCCAAACAGACGGTAAGGAATCACTTATAGAGGATTCTCTTTAAAATATTTAAAGTAAAGTTTTGATCCATAATGATTTTTCTCTCCTTTTCTCTTTCAACTCCTCGAAAAGAAAAAAATAATTTAAAAAAAAGAAGAAGAAAGAAGTGCAATAATAGACCAACGCACTAGTGAACAAAATGCCAGAAAGTTACATTAATTTAAAATACAAGCATGTGAGACATGAGCCGTTAATCCTGATGTTGACAACTAAGATGCAGACGGAGCTACAAGTATGATTTTCAAGAATTGCAGTTTTAACTTAATGTAGCACTAGTCCATTTTTATATTTGCATTTCACATAATTATTATTACTTGTATCTCTAAAGTTAGAGGGTAGGTAAGACTCCATCTTGGAGATAATGAGATAAGTCACTCTCAATCTCATCATCTGCCTCAACTTGGCTCAAGAGTCGAGACTACATGAAAAATAAAATAATACTAAAATACACTATCTTGTAATCTGGTACTTGCATTCAGTGCCTCATTTACTCCTCTCTACATACTTGTATTTCAACATTATCTTTTATTTATTTATTTATAGTAAGACTATAAATATAGCAGTCAGGGGATTGGCTAAGGACCAAAGGGAGAAAGTGAAGGCTTAGTGGGGTTGAATAATGGAGAAAGAAGATTTGAAATGGGAGCAAAATGAGGTGGAACTAGCAGAAGAAGAAGAAGAAGAAGAAGAATTAGTGGGTCTTCAAGTAAGAAGCTCTAAAGCTACTAAAGAATTAACCAATGGGAAAATTCAGACAAATGGGCACACAAATTCTTCTTTAAAGTTCACTAATGGAACAGAAAAATCTGATCTTGGTGATGTACAAGAAAGTTCAAAGGAGAAACTTCTAAATTCCAGTTATGGGGTTGAAGTTGAAGAGGAAACAGAACCAAAAGAAGTGTCAGTTGAGCAGGTTTTAGCCTCAAATAATGGGGTTGAAGAGGGAACAACTGAAGCTAAAGAAGAGTTAGAAAAGCAGTTTGTGACTTTAGCTAATGGGACTGAAATGTCTGATCTTGATAATGAACAAGAAAGATCAGAGGAGCAGTTTTCAGATTCCAATAATGGAGTTGAAGTTGAAGAAGGAAAAGAACAAAAAGAAGAGTCAATTCAGCAGGTTGTAGCTTCAAATAATAGGGTTGAAGCTGAAGAGGGAACTGAAGCTAAAGAAGAGTCAAAACAGCATCTTGTGACATCAACTAATGGGACTGAAGAAGGGCCCTTCAAATCAGGCCATTCTGTTTATTATGACAAAGATGAAGGTATATACTTGTTACACCAACTGTTTGACCTTTTTTTGTACTTATATCTTTTGTGAAATTCTCTGCTGACTCTGCTATCTTGAGATCTGTGTATGTACATTTCTTCATTGATTTTGTAGGGTAAAGTTTACAGTTTTTTTAAGGGAGAGATAAAAATAACTCCTCTCAACCCCACTCCTTCTATGTCTTACCCTACCTGTCTCAAACTATTTCCTTCTTTACTGCAAAAGGGCCCCTTTCTCTTGATACATATGTTTGTTTGTTTATTTGTTTGTGTGTGTAAATATACACCATAAAGGTTTCACTCTAGTAAGATTTATGGTATTGAGGTTAAATTTTCTCAAGGATAAGTCTGCTTTGCAATTTGAGGTTGTGCACATTTCAGTCTCTTGACTCTCTTCTTGATTCTTACTTTTGAGGTGATGGTCTTTGTATTTTCTTTAGACTTATGAAGTTGGAATGATTTTATTGCTTATCTTTAGGTTTAATTCTAGACACATCTTTTACAGGTTATTTGTTTCTTTTTTCTTATTTTTTTGCCATATACCGTCTAATCGTCAACATCTTTGTTGTGTGGAATCTTTCTGAGATTAACTACCATCTAGATCCCTTAAAAAGGACACATTTTCCCGGGGAAATTTGAAGAATTCAGTATTCTACTATTCTTTTTAATGGTTAGACCTGAAAAGTTAATCCATTGGTGATCAATGTTTGACTCAACGAATATTTTATATAAAGGAATACTGTAATAGATTAGGTGTGACTGACGAGTAGAATTAGCTAAGGCATGTTTGGAAAAGTTGATAACTATTCAATTGGGGAGTTCCATTGAGACCAAAAGAGCATATTGTTAATGCCTCTAAAGCAGCTAAAACTCTCCAATGTCACAAGGACTCATGTTTGTAGATCCAAATCCATAATCACTGCAAATGAGAGAAGGCGTTCTTACATTAAGACTATAGTTGTACAAAGTGTACATTTAACGGCAGCTCTGCAGACTCTTGCAGCTGGGGTGCTTGAGTGAAGTATGAGTAAGCATTAGACTTTCTTTAACTGCGATACTTCCTTTTGGACATTTGATCAGATGCTGTCTACAGTCAAACATGTTCAACTTTATGGGATCCTTCAGTGACGTATTTATATTCAGTTTTGCCGAATAAGATATTGACTCAGCATTAGAAGTACTACACTGCTTTTGTTCATCTGCTAGCAAGAACTGGATGTTATTTTCAAGTGACTGATTATGTATGTTCTTGTACGTATAGAAATCCACCAGTAGTCCACTACGAAGTGTTTAAAATAACATCTACCCTTGTGTTTTGAACCACATAGATGAATCATCCTCGTTCTCCTCATGCATTAGGCACAACAATGCAATTTTTGCAATCATATTTTCTGTTTGATTGAAGGAATATGGAAGTGTCGAGTCTGCTGTTGGACTTTTCAAGGCAAAAGCATAAGTATTGATTGGACAAAGATTCCTAGGGGCCACTTGCATAAGCTGATGAATTACCCAATGTTTGATCAGAGGGGACTTTTATTCAGTTTTGGAAGTGAAGGTTAGTTGACCCATTGATTTTTAGGGAAACAACCATGACTGGTAGAAAAGTGATGTTGTCAATTAAGAGAACAGTTTCTATGGAAATTTAAGGAGTAGAGCAAGATCTCAGAATCTACTTTCAGTGTGATGAATGGTCCTAATATCCGTAAATGCTACATAATAGGCTGCAAACAAATGTTATAAGTAAATCCATTTTTCCCTTGCTCCTTATGGTTTCAGGCCATTTTACCTGTACATTTGCATCGCAATAGCCATTATTTTAGTAACTTTTGCACTGCAAAGGGTAGAACATGGAATTGGGGGTAAAAAAAAGTGGGTGTCTGGCTTACCGATAATAAAAAAAGAAATTGGTGTCTGGCATACTGATAATGTGATATGGATGCCATGTTTCGCACAAGAGCATTTAAGTTGCTACATGTGTTGGGATCGAAATAACATGGTGCATGCGGAAACTAACAATACAAAGCTTGGTTGTAAATCAGACGACAAAAGAAAAATATACTAAACTAAGTATAATAGTTTATAATGGTTTGGTCAATTGATCTACATATGATAAAACTAATATAAAAGAAGAAAAACTATCGAGAGAAAAGTCTCCCCTTAAACAAAACTCTTTAATGACTACATTGTGGATATTTTTTTTGTGCTCTTGTGAGAAGCAGAGATCCTTAATTTATAGATGTGTAATTCTTGTCTTCCAGGAAAAGGATAAGACATATTAAGAAGATTTAATCCTTATAGAAGTCTTTTTCCATTCCTTCAAGAAAGAGAGTCCTAATAGATTAGAAATTCAAGGCAAAATCCTAACAATCTCCCCTTGGCCTGAATTTTCTTGATAAAGTTGATTCACCTTCTTCACATAATCTTCATCGATGCTGCTTGCCATGATTAAAAATCGGTATAGGTTGAAAATCTTAGTATTGGTTAAAAGAAGCCCAAGTATGGGTTAAAAGGAGCTCACGTGTTAAGAATAAACATGGGTAAAAGAAGCTCATGCATTAAAAAGAAGCGTGAGTTAAAACTGGCATTGGAACTCATGCGTTGCAAGTAGGCATGACTTAAAACTGGCATTGGTTAAAAGTGGCCAAAAATATAGGTTAAAAAGAGTTTTTATTCCAATAAAGATGCAACAGCAGACGTTTTGAATACAATTGTAATTGTAAATTTATCTCCACACGTAGCATCATAATAAATCTTTATTATCGTCTTGATTTAAACACGCATTGAATCTGTCTTCAACCTCGTTCAAACGTTGACTCTGAACCATTGGCTCTGATACCACTTATTGGGATCGAAATAACATGGTGCATGCGGAAACTAACAATACAAAGCTTGGTTGTAAATCAGACGACAAAAGAAAAATATACTAAACTAAGTATAATAGTTTATAGTGGTTTGGTCAATTTGATCTACATATGATAAAACTAATATAAAAGAAGAAAAACTATCGAGAGAAAAATCTCCCCTTAAACAAAACTCTTTAATGACTACATTGTGGATATTTTTTTTTTGTGCTCTTGTGAGAAGCAGAGATCCTTAATTTATAGATGTGCAATTCTTGTCTTCCAAGAAAAGGTAAGACATATTAAGAAGATTTAATCCTTTTAAAAGTCTTTTTCCATTCCTTCGAGAAAGAGAGTCCTAATAGATTAGAAATTCAGGGCAAAATCCTAACAACATGGAGTATAAAAGTTTACGCTAGGATGAAGCTTACAAGTTGACATTGACAAAATCAAAAAGGGAAAATAGAAAGAGCATAAAGAAAGAAATCATTTACCTGACCCCATTACATGGGGCAAGCGGGGTTATGGTTTCAGTTCTAAGGTTGTCGGTCTCCATGTATTCTGTTTCTCCAGTACTATGCTTTATCCTAAATGAATTTATTTTTTAACTCCCAATTAAGTGATTGATTATGATATTAGTTTTCAGCTTAGCAAATTCGATGAACTTCAGTTAAACTTCAGCATTATAACTAGCTTTCTCTTGTCAATGGCAGAATTCTAAAAGTTTTCTTCCTGATTTATCGTTGAACTTGTTTTTCAAGCTGACTTTCAGATTCACGTTTGTGCTACTGTCTAGATTTTGAGATTTGGCAAAGTCATTTGAAGTGACGAGTTGAATTCTCTCATATGAATGCAGATAGTAACTTCACTTCTACACCTTTCATAAAGGAGAAGATTGATAAAAATCCAGTAGATGAAGAAGTTCAGGAGAGTGCTGTTCTAGACATTCAACTTAATGGATATTTGAAGAGTGACAACTTGTCAAATTCAGGTGCTCAGCCGTCCAAATATCTTTCAGAAGATCACAGTATAGTTCACAAGTCCACATCCATTGAAGAAATAGAAAGCGCAGACACTGACCTGATAAATGACAGTGACACTGATGTAAAAGATTATGATGTTGAGAATGTACTTCAGAAGCAGAATACTCATGATCTTTATTGTCCTAATTGCAAGTCGTGCATTACTAGGAGGGTTATTCTTCGTAAAAGAAAACGAAAGATTCGAATTTCTGGTGATGATGTCAAGCGTAACAAACTCGAAAGTGTAGTTGACTACAAAGTGGATGCTAGTCATGCACAGGCAACTAGTGATCAAGTACGCGATCGAGCCGACACTTCTCTTGATGGTACTCCACAATTGGCAGTGGATGATAACCAGCCTGATAGAGAGCCAGAGATATTCAGATGCCTATCATGCTTCAGCTTTTTTATTCCAACAGGTACGGATCTTTCATTACCTTGAAAGTTAACATAAAATCTGGTCTTTTTTTTTTGCCATCACACTGCAGTTTATGGGAAGCTGTTTCATGTGCAGTGACATGAATATACCTTGGTCCAAATTTCCTTATGATCAAATGTCTTTGTATACTGTCATTTCAGAGTTATCCCTTGTTTGGTAGTCTAGCAGGATCACTAGCAGCTAAAATAAGTCTGTAGTTTACTACTTCTGTTTGTAGCTATATAATGGAAATGACGTCATCTTCTTTCCTTCAGGACTCATGAAAACCGATTGAAACTTCTTTTTTTGGGGGGAAGGGTTGAGGGGAAGAATGAAGAATGGAGAAAAACTAAAGAAACTTGGGATTAGCTGATATACTGTTAAAATGAATTATACTCTTCTATTACTAGAAGAGTTCCAGAAACTTGCGATCATATCTTGTAATAGCAGATACTATTATATTATTGCAAGATCTTTGAATGACATAGCGAAAGTTGGCGTTAGAAATATCTTTAAGTGGAAATTAAGATGTTTTTCTTTTTTGAGATGTCGAAGAAGAAATGATTTTTCTCCTTAACGCATGTGCTTATATATGTAAGACAATCTTCCCAATATTTTATAGTTTGCAAGAATTACCATTCAAAAAAAAAGCTGTATTTTATTATCAGTTTGTTGCATTCTGTCGGGACAGACTGTGGTTGGTACTCAGCAAATAAGCTCTAACAAGTTCAAGATTGCATGTGAAATTTTTGTTATTTGTGACCGAGGTCAAAGAAGAAAATAACCCTTTTTCCAAACTTTCAGGGAATGGATTAAAGCTGTTCCGATTTTATGGAGAGAAAGGTGATAAACAAAATGTCAAAGGTGAACAGATACCTACGACGAACAAAAATTGGTTCTCCTCTATCTTTGCATCAGATAAGGGAAAAGCATCAGTTGAGCAAGGTACTTAGTTTTCTACTTCTATTTTTCTTTTTCCAGTTTTGTTTACCTAACGAGCATTATAAATCCCAACTCTACAAAGTAGAATCTATCCGCAATTTTTTCTTTTGATAAGGATCTATCCACAAAATTTATTCAGTCATTCAGAAAAAATGGGATATTATGTTAACTGCCAACATGTACTAAGATGAACTTCCGTACAAGTGTGGTAAGTTTTAGAGCTGTAGTTGATTGACTGTAAAGCAATACCTTCATATAGGAAGCGTTTCAATTGTAAAATAGAGATTTAAAGTATTGGGGGAAAGGGGATGATGTAAATGACAGAGTCAGTGGTTGATTCTTTAGATGCGCTAAAGACATAGAAAAGGAGAATCCAGCTTATTTTAGTTTACTTTTCTGTAGCTACAGTACCTTCTTGGTACTGGTTTTCTTTTTTCCATGATACAAACCTTAGAAAAAAACCTCGTCGCATAAATGAGGTAATATTTTTAGAGCTGATAACTCATAACTCTACTTTCTCCCATTGTTAAAATAAATATCCAGAGTCGACAATGAAATGGTTATGAGGGTGTATTTTAGTTCGGTGTCACATATTGCATACATCCCATAGAAGCTAAAACTCCTAGCTAGAAAGAGGTTTCCAGATAACATGCTCAGTGTAATGCAATAGGATGGACTTTTGGTCAGTTCTGATCATTGCATTGCTTGGAGGGGGAGAATATCAGAACTACACCTTTATAATGTAAAGAAACAGCTAAAGACTATCTTCATGTTGTTAAACTGATGGAGTTTCTCATGCAGGAAGTGGTATTGGGGCAAATGCAGTGAAAAATGATGCCGGAGTACTTACGCCATCAGATAATTTCAAAGATCAGAGTGCCAAGCCCTTAGTGATTAGGGAATCAGCCCCGCCTGCATATTCCAGCAGTGAAACTCAGGAAGCTGGAGGGAAAATTTTAGGATCAGAGAACCAAGATGCAAAAATGAAGGGGAAAATGGCGATTGATACAGTGGGTAAATCAGAGAATGCAACAAAGAGTCAAGCAGGTGCAGTAAAGATTTTCACCTTTGTTCTCATTACCACGAAGTAGTGATCTAACTGAAAACATGAAATAGCTGATGTAAAGTAAAATTGTGACTGTGAGTACGTAAAATGGGAGACTTCTGCTTTCCATAGGTAGTCAAAGAAATAGCCTTTGCTAGTGATCAAGTCCAAAAGCATGTTGGCGGTTCATAATTTGGATGAATAGACAAGTTTAGTGATCCAATTTTTCATCATATCTAATTACTGATTTGCCCTCAGATCTTTCTGCTCCTTGGTGCATGTTCCAGCACCTTCTTCTTTATAACATTGTTTTCTCCTGTGCAGGAGGTTCTGTCTTCGACATCTTTGAGGAAGGGATCCTTAATCTGCCAAATGTTGCAGCCTCTTCTGAGAAAGTTGGAGGAAATGATAGGAATGATGAGCTGTTAAGAACTGCTGGCAGAATTCAAGTTAGTAATGGAAATCTTGCGCAGGAGAGTCTGCCAGCATCTCAACAAACTGGATCAAAGGTTCTGATAACTTCAACAAAGGAGGAGTCTCTAACTATTGAGAAATCAGGGACTGAGTTAAAATCTGATGTGATGATAACTTCAACAAAGGAGGAGTCTCTAACTATTGAGAAATCAGAGACCGAGTTAAAATCTGATGTGATGATAACTTCAACAAAGGAGGAGTCTCTAATTATTGAGAAATCAGAGACTGAGTTAAAATCTGATATGACGTTTCTAAATAAAGGTCCAGGTAGTGTTTCTAGTATGAACTTCTCTCTATTAAGTAGAGTTAACTGAAAAACAATGTCTGTCTGGTCATGCTAACTTCAACTGAGAACATGTAATGCCTTGTCCTCTTAAAATTTTAAGAATTACCTCAACCTTCCTTATGGAAAAAAGAAAAAAGAAGATGATTTACCTCAACTTCCCTTAACTATTGCAGCGGGCAGTTGATAGTCCTTTAAGATAAATGTTATTTTCGCATGTAGCTATTGTACTGAGATGCATATTGCAAATAGTTGTCCTACTCATTGTTGCATTCTTTGGGAGCTATTCTTTAATAATGTTTTCATTACATTTTAAAAAATAAATTTGTTATCTTCACTCGGGGTGCATTTCCTTTAGGGGCAATGTTTAATTATCACCTAGCCCTACACTCCCGAAGAAATTTTTTCTTTCTGTTTGTTTTATATTTGGAAAACGAAAAAGATCCTCTTTACTTTGTTGCTCATAAGACAAATCGAGAACAGGGATAGTACGAGAGGTTGATGATGTGTATCATATGCGTTTTATAACATTGATATAATCATAATGCCCTGTTGATTCTAAAATTAATAATCATAACTGGATTCAGCTCAGACATGGCTTCATGTGAATGTGCAGATAATGAGTCCTTTCTGTCTTCAGCAACCACAGCTTTTGCACTCAATGGCTTAGATGGAAATGGGAAACCCAAGTTTTCGACAGAAATCCCTCAAGCACACGAGCAAAATATCAATGCCATGCTTCCCTCTGAGTCTCCGGTGGAAAACAATGGCAATAATTTTCAACTTAGTAATAAAGGTATGTAACTAAACCTCCTCCTAGTTCTGGTTAATGCAAGCTTATTTCAAACTGTTATACCTTTTGACTTCTAAAAGTTACTTGCATATTTATCAATAAAACAACAACAACAACAGCCCAGTAATAATCCCAATAGTGGGGTTTGGGGAGGGTAGAGTGTACGCACACCTTACCCCTACCCCGGAGGGGTAGAGAGGCTGTTTCCGGGAGTGCATATTTATCAATACTGAGCTAAAAATTGGAGTAATATCCGAACCCAGAAAGGAAGTTGTATTTTTCCCATTTATGAACTAAATCATCTTTATCAAAAGATTTTCCTCCAATGCATATCAAGCAAAGAGTTAGGTATAGCAAAATCCTGATTAAAGGGCAGCCGGTGTAGGAAGCATCCCGCGTTCCACAGGGTTCGGGGAAGGGCCGCACATTAGTGGCTGATTCCACAGCTTGAATCGTGACCTATAGGTCACGGAGACAATTTTACCATTGCTCCAAAGCTACCCTTCAGCAAAATCCCGATTGGTTACTTTGAAAATGAAGTTCCAGATTGGTTTAGCTGAAATAAGTAATCTCTTGAACGAGTGTATAATTGGTACCTGAAGCTTTAATTTCCAATGTGCCTTAGTAGGAAGTTAGGTATTAACCCGTTGTACTCTTGGAATTTTTGTTACTCAAAGAGCGCCACTCATTTATATGCAAACACTGGTTTTGAATCAAGTTGTCTTCGGCAGTATTGTGGTGTTAGCTCAAGAAAAGTTTTTTGCCTTGTGCTGCCTTACTAATGTTTGATTTGATCGCTTTGGCATTTGTCATTACTTTGCTTCCAAGTATTATGTCACCCTTGCATTGACAGATGGTTCGGATCCTTATGAAATTTCTCAACATACCATCACAAAGACCAAATTTGAGATCCACTCGAAGCAGCCTTTAAATGTTGATAAGGATGCTTTATTTTCATCGGTAAAGGATGCTTTATCAATTCACGATGCACCAGTTAACATCACCAACATTTCTGTGGAAGCAGCTGCAAATGGCATTGCAGGTAAACACTAGGCTTTTCTTCATTCTAATATTCTATGGTGACTAGATAAATCTGGTTGCAATTAGGGATCAAATACTCTCAGAACACTTTTTTATTACCCTCTCCGGCATTTGTAAGCTTCCTAATAAGCTCTCCCCTAAAGATGTGTTGATGAAATAGTAAGTAAAATGGTTGAAGCGCTATTAACCATGGAACCATTACTTTTTGTTTGTAAAATTCATTAGGGAAAGTTGATCAAAAATATTAAAAATGAAATTACCTGAGGTATCATTTTCTACCATATACCTGTTCAACCAAAATGCTTGGGCTGCCAACCACAGCCTATACTTAGATGCTGAACCTTCGCTATCAGTACCTTGCTTAAAGAAGAAACTAGGCCTGTAGAATTATTGTGCTTTGGGTGTGTTTGGTATAACGGAAAATGTTTTCCGTAGAAAATGTTTTCCAAGAAAACAAGTAGTAATCTTATTCAATTTCCGGTGTTTGGTTCGCAAATTAAGAAAAAATAACTTCTCAAGAGTATTCTGGGGGGTCTGGGATGCTGTAGAGAAAAATTACAAAAAAAAATGGGGGGGGGGGGGGGTTTAGCGAAGGTGGGTGGTGACGGAAAAGAAAAAAAACTGAAATCTGAAAAGGAAAAAAAAGACTTTTGGAGAGAGGGGTTGGGAGAGGTGGGGTAGGGGAGAGAAGGGGAGGGGGTTGGGGTTAGATGTAAGGGTAGATGGAGTTTTTGGAAAATATTTTCCTAACTTTTTCTAGGGAAATCATTTTCCTCCAATTTCAGGAAAATGTGATTTCTAGGAAAATATTTTCCAAACTATTTTGAACCAAACAGTGAAAAATGGGAAAACATTTTCCGAAAAATATTTTCCGTCATACCAAACACACCCTTTGTGTTGAATAATTTATGCTGAAGAGATATTGAATAAAGATGATAGCGTATATTCTCTGCAGTGCTAATTTGTAAAAGGGGGTTTTGTGTAGCTTAATTTTCTTGATTCAATTGTGTGACAGGCAAGGATACAGTTATAACTGTGGAAGCAGGGCATGAAACTACAGAAACTTCACCAAATCAAGATACTCAAATCCATTTTGTTGAACGACAAGGAACTGATGCTGCAGAAGGTTACAGAATTGAGATCATTAAAAGCATTATATTTGGGGGTTTAGCTGAGTCAATTACAAGCTTAAGTGTTGTATCATCTGCAGCTGGTGGCGACACAACTACATGTAAGAGTACATATCTTTCTATAATATTTGGACAAGAGAAGAGTTCTTATCTTGTTTCAATCATCCATAACATAGTTAATTACTTAAGCTGATGCTTTATCTGAATTTTTGCAAGTACTTATTCATTTATCCTCGTCTGGTGTAGCAATCGTCCCTTCAACAAGTTAGGCAGGAAAATATCTTTTTTATATGGATTAATAGTACAATTTGATTTTAGGCTAATTCAAAAATTTCTAAGTGACTTATGCAATCAGTTACAATTTGATTATGCAATGGATGTATTCCATTTTCTTGAATATCTTGAAATTATTTGAGGAAAAGGCCACTTTTATAAAAAGATCTGGCTCCCTACTTCATCTTTTAAACTTTCTGGTTTTGATGGTATCATTATGTCTACTGCAGTGAACATTTTAGTACTGGGAATGGCTAATCTGATTGGTGGACTTTTCATCATTTTCCACAATGTAAGTTGACTTTAGCATTTTGTGATCATAACGAATAATTTACGTAGAGAGACCAGTGCTCTCCTTAAAATAATTAGCCACTAGCTACGGCGCATAAAAACCATGATAACTTGAAGCTATAGATGGGGGAAGCTGTATGTATCCACAGTTAGATGCCATGTTTTCTTGATCACTTAAAATTAACTCAAATCAGTCAATCAGTTGGGGTAGTTTTTATTCCTCGTGCTTTCAGTTCAATTTACTCTATCTCTTGCTGACTTCATAAACTTGCAGATTTGGGAGTTGAAAAGAGATCGTTATGAGCAAGCCAGCAACCAGATAATGGAGACACATGTGGATAGGTATCGACAACTACTAGGCCGGAGAGAAAACTTCACAATGCATGCCGTAGTTGCTGTACTATCATATATCATAATTGGACTAGTGCCTCCAATAGTCTTCGGCTTCTCATTCCGCAAGAGTGATGACAGGGAATTCAAAATCGTGGCAGTTGCTGCAGCTTCGCTTGTATGCATCTTAATGCTGGCAATTGGAAAGGCTTATGTTCAGAGAGCACCCAAACCTTACTTCAAAACTATAGCTACTTACATTATTTTGGGGTTCACTGTTTCGGGTGTGTCTTATGCAGCAGGTATATTATTCAAAAGACTGCTGGAAAAACTTGGTTTTTTCCAGCCGAGTTCAACAGTAAACCTGCTCCTACCAGAGATACCAGGCTCTGGAGGAGCATGGGCGTCCTTATGATGAATACCTGTAAGGCTGTAACCTCCCGGAATATCCTCTAGTTAACTCTTCGTGATTCCCTTCCTTTGGCATTTTTGTTTAGCTTTAGCCTGTACACATGCTCCTCCACTGTTATTTTAAGTTTAGTTGTCGGCGAATGGAAGAAATAGAAACCCTGGTCTGACTGTAAAATGAAAGGGAATATCAGATTTATAACATTTCTTTGAGTAAATTGAAATAAAGTTTTTTTACATAGTCATCTCTTGCTTTATCAAATGATTGATATACAGTAGATTCCGTATTTCTTATGAAATAACATTAACCCCAACCAATCAACTAAGATTGCTCATAAGCCCTATCCTTCAAATCCTTTTGGTTTACCCTTGGAATCTTCTCTTTGGGATTATAAGTTCGGAAAAGGGCAAAAAATACCCCTAACCTATTGAAAATGGTTTAAATTTGCCCTCCTTCCACCTATTAAGCCATAATTGTCCTTAACGTTAACTTTTGGATTGAAAATACCCCCTCTTTAACAGAATTATGAGATGGCATATGTGTCCTTTAATTGAATAGATGGCACTTATTTATTGGTCCAAGTTGTTTACCATGAGTTTGGCGATTGTTGGAACTGGGTTTCGAAGAATCCGCCATTTTTATAGGATGAAGAAGCTTAGACGAGCTTATCTATAGAATAGGATGGAGCTTATTTGCGCTAGTTTTAATCAAAAATTGCAGCTTCAGACAAGGACGACATCGCCTGAATCCACTCAGTCGTAAAAAGCAAAACATTGAAGAAACGGAGAACGAACAGATTATAAATTTGTGTAATTTTTTTTAAGTTTGTTCATTATTAAGGCTGCGAAATCATTTTAATTTGATTTCTGCCAATACTAGTTGTTGGAATTGAATTTGCGCCAGAAAATTTTGGATTGCCATTGTTGAACGATCTGAAAGCTTGAGTTGAATTTTAACCCCGAAAATTTGTTAAGGGATCAATTGGGTGTTTTGAATCTTTGAGTTGTTTCTGGTTTCAAAACACCATTTTTACAGTTTTTGAGAAGTTTATACTGAATTAGAAGTGGGTTGGTTGAAATTTTCGAATTCCTTCCTAGGTTCTCAAGAACGAATCTTGGGTTGATAAAAATTTGTATTACTGATTTGGCGATTGTTGGAAATCACTCGAAAACACCTATTGAATTGAAACTGAGAATCGAGTAAAGCTTGGTTCGAGGAGCTTGTACTGGGCATTGTTGAATCCTCTGCTGGTGGATTTCTTTATTGAGATCAATTGTGTTAATTGCTTGGCTAAAGTTGATTGGAACTTAAAACATTATTTGAGTACCTCTGTGAAGATTGAACTTCAAGCTTTCCGTTATCCTAATTGAAACTTACAGTGCTGAAAATCTTTGGACAATCTGTGAGAAAATCAAATGGGTTGTAGTTTTTTATGGGTTGGTCTAATAGCCACTTGGACCAATAAGTAAGTGCCATCTATTCAATTAAAGGACATATATGCCATCTCATAATTCTGTTAAAGAGGGGTATTTTCAATCCAAAAGTTAACGTTAAGGGCAATTGTGGCTTAATAGGTGGAAGGAGGGCAAATTTAAACCATTTTCTTAAACCATTTTCAACAGGTTAGGGATATTTTTTGCCCTTTTCCGTTATAAGTTTAGTTTTTGCCACTTACAGACTTCAGAATTCCTGTCATTTCCTAGGGACAACTGCAGTAGCGGACGTTTAGCTTTTAGTTGTCGGATAGATATAGGGAAGACATAGGTGGGGGTTAAAGCCTCAAATTTCTTGTTTTTCCTTTACTCTTGTTTTGCTATCGGAAGAAAAATTGTGGTTTGAGTTATTCTCCTCCATGATCATTTTTTATGGTAGACGAATGAAGAGAATGGATAAGAGGATAATGTGGAAACTCATGCATCGATGTGACATCTATGGTAGAAAATGTCACAGATAACTAAAAGTTGAGGGGCTTTACATATACTTTTTTCGTATACTTAATCAGGGACAACGCGAGAACAATCAAAAAGGGAAAAGAAAACGTCCAAATCAGCTGTGTGATGAATCTTAAGCTCATCGCCTGATTTAAGCACTACTGCTAAATTCTTAGTTTGTCATCACGTCTAAAATCATTTTTAGACCCAGTTCCTACATATTCTACTTCCTCTTATAAAATTGGTTAATACATAATCAATCATTAAACTCATTTCAATAATCAGAATCAGCTTCATCATCTAAACACAGGTCCAATGATTCTCCTGTCTATTAATATTAGAAGACCAATGGAAAAAGAAGAAAATACCAAAGATTGGACCAAATAAATCTCAGAAAAATAATTGTATAAAGTCCATGCAGAATCTGCGTTTCATATATCTAATTACCTGCTATTTACATTTTAAGATTTAGTACCCAGAGAAATCACAAAAGCCAGACCTGATCAAGTTTTTTTTTTAAGTAATTGTCAATAAAGTGTTGGAAGCATCCTCGTGAAAAGACTCCCGGACATGCATTATTCGTCTGAACAGAATTTGATACATACCAAACTACAGAGGCACACGTCAGAGCAAGTCTTCTAGCAAAAATCCCTATGAGGCTTTGCCCATCCGCTGCTTGTAATTATTGTTAATGCTTACGTACCAAAATTTAGAAACAATGGAAATAACTGACGGTTAAAGTCTTTTAATGTAGACAGATCCCTTTTCATCATAACACCTTTTAACAGGAGACAAACAAAAACTTAAAACAAAAAGAACCACATCAAACCAAAATAATTCCTCGAGGAACTGGATGCACGACTATTTCCTGCAACTGTCCTCTGAAATCCAAAGTCAGTGTCAGAGATGCATTATGGGGCCTACTCATATGAAGGCGAAAAACAGTATAGGAAGATTAACTTAGCATCTTCATCCATCATAGCCAGGGCAATAGACAGGACGAACCCGTCCGATCACAAACTCTTGGCGCCTTCAGATTTCAGATCTTGCTTACTTTTACCTCTCTTCATTTTGGCTTTAACCCGAGATTTTGTCACAAGAGTCTGCACCGTGTTGGCAAAATTGCCAACTGCCATAATAATCAAAAGGACCCCACAGGTAACAACCTGCCACAACCGCATCATTTTAGAAACTGATTAGTCATTGATAGGAAGGGGCTGCCAGCACTCATAATAGCAGGATTTCTTTGGCATGGCAGTTTACACAAGATATATACTTGAACATTACGAAAGGGAAGACCTATTTTAGTTACTAATATTGTTATTTCTGCACTCGACTGTTCTATTTCCATAGAAGCAAACTAAGATAATTTGTTTAAAAAGTAAGTTAGAACTTCACCTTTCACAATCTCAAACTATTTTATTAGAGAATCTCCTAACCAACTTGCAATATGTTATACAAACTGTCTTCTCTTAACCTCTGCACCAAGCAAACAAGATAACAATGTTGGAACAGAGGGAGTTTATATTACCTGCCACTCGGAAACAACACCAATGAATGCTGTTTTAAGCAGCAAGACTCCAACATATGCTTCAAATCCCTGACACCAAGAACAAACGGCATACAGTCATTTGGGACCAGCCTCAAAAGATAGAACTAAATTGGTAAATTTCATGGAACACGTCTATGTGCACAGGGATAACCAATTAAACTGACCTTTTCTTCTGATATGTATACTGAAACATTGTTGAATGTACTCAAGTCTAGAAAAGAAATATCATCCACAAAAGTTGATTTGCTTGAGTCATAAAAGGCCACAGATTGTGACCCATCTAATGTTACTAGTTGCTATAGCTCAGATGACAATTCTGTTTTTGCTTCAATATTCAGAAACTTCGCCCAAAACACACAGGAACTCACTATGAGTTAAAGAGAAAAAGAATCCTTGATAGACATTAGTTACCTTGAACCAGACAGTCACTAAGAGGAGCAATTGACATGCATTTCACTATGTACATCAAAATTATGCAAAAGGCAAAATACATAAATGGCCTCTCTAAGTTGTCCACAACGATCAAATGAACACATTAATTGGCTTATTACCAATTAGACACTTTTTCTCTACAAAAATGTGACCTCGTGGACCCCTCACGCTGACATGGCAAATTGCGTGCTTTTATTTCATATTTGAGCGCGTGAAACCCTCAAAATTAATTTTTTTTCCTTTCTAAATTCACCTTACTTTGTTCAACCGGAGCAGTCTTAGTGGATGATGGAGTCATTGCCCGCAAAATGAGTGTCGTCGCCGGAGAGTATGCTGGCGAAGTGGACGGTCTCCTTTTAGGAGATGCAAACGTTATCACTTCAATTCCCAAATTCATTCAATTAGGGCAAATCACAAAGATGTTGAGGCAAGTCGGAAATCGAATTTTGGGTCTAGGGCAACAATCATCAGTGAGTCGAGGCATGTTGCGGCGCTTATATCATGAAAGAGTGGTGGACCATTACAATAATCCCCGAAATGTTGGGTCCTTTTACAAGAACGTCCCACCATCGGTAAGGGTCTTGTCGGAGCTCCGGCTTGCGAAATTTCAAATTAAAGTTGATGATAAAACAGGAACTGATTGGTCTTGTCGGAGCTCCGATTTCATGACCTTTAGTTGTGGCTCTGCTATTGCGTCCTCCATAGTAGCAACTGATTGGTTAATAAAATTGATGGGGGAGTCCATAAAAAATACAAAAATAGCGAAGCATCTCCCTTCCGCCTGTTAAATTGCACTGCAGCATGCTTGCATAGGATGCAATTAAGGCTGCTTTGAAGGATGATGAGTCGAAGAAGGCAAAGTTTAGTGACAAGGCAGAGAATCCGTGAATGGTAAAAGATGCTCATGCTTGGTATAGTAGTTGAAGAAATAAAAAGGCTTCCGGCAACGAATGGATTTTCATAGATGTAAATTGGCTCTAGATCTGTTTGGATATGGAGAAGAAGAAGAAGAAGTAAGGGGAAGAATTGCAGCGTTGGATTTGGGGAAAAGCTGGGAACAAAAAAAAGATTGGGTGGGTGGGGGTGGGGTGGGGGATGATTGATTAACTAAAGCTATTTTCTTATTTTACCTTTTTCAAATACACGTGTTATTTTATAATTGGTTCTTTTTACACGTCAGCGCGATTGTGTTTCACGCTTGTAATATGTTTGACTCGAGTGTCCACGAGGTCACATTTCTGTAGAGAAAAAGTGTCTAATTGGTAATAAGGCCAGTTGAGGTGTTCATTTGATCGTTGTGGACAACTTAGAGGGGTCGTTTATGTATTTCGCCTATGCAAATTACAGTAGCATTTTCTGCTCTTGGACAACTTAACATCATTCAACTTGACTTAAATCTAAAGGCCCAGTCTCTTCAATAGCAGAATTTGTAGAGAAAAGTAGTTGCAATTAGTAGAAAGCCAAATTGAACTCAGTATACCTGCAAGATAAATAGTACAGGGAAGAGCAACAATAATTGACCATCTACTCCAGCAGTCTCTCCCCATACAACATCCATTCTCCTGGCCTGAAATCAGAATTCAGTAGAATGTTCCACAATTAGGATAGTTTATCGAACGATAGGAAGTGAAAATATCTTTTTTCTTCATTCAACCACAAGGCAAAGCTAATTCCCTCAACAGGAGGGAGCGAAAAGAGTGACTGTTGACGTCAATCCTTGGAGATTTTTATCATTAACCCCACCCAAGGGGCAAAGAAATATATAAACCTATCTGCACTAGATGCCCTGGAGTAACCCAAAACCATCTTGGTGTTTATTATTAAAATTTATTTGACTTATAAAAAGGAATAGTCTATCTGCACAGGATTAGTGAAGCTTCTCAAGATAGATATTTAAACAGGACAAATTACGACAGGCGAAGGGCTTTTCAGTAAAACTAATGATTCTGCTTTTTGTGTACCTTTCCCAATGCAATGCGAGTGTACAGTCTTTGCCTTTGATATCTATTCTGAAGCAGCATAGCAACACCTTGCATGATAGCCCATTTCAGGAACAGTTGCACACCCCTCTGCAAAGGACAGTTGCCAAGTATTTATTTATTTACTAGAGATATAATTTTATTTCTCACTATTTGGATTATTTTAAACTTGCATTAACATAATAACTAGCATATTTTAATCAAGCATAAATTTTGAAGGACAATTTTGTCTTTAACTAAGCTAATGCATGCATTAAAACCCATTGCATTGCTAACACCATGGTTTTCTATGCATTAGTTATGCATAGGATAATACCAAATAGGATGTATAACTAATGCTTGCATAACTAATGCATAGGTTCAAAATGTCTACCAAACAAGGTATTATTATACACAAAGCTAATGCATGCATTATTTTATCTAATGCATCCTACCAAACGACCCCTAAATGTTATAGAAAAGTGCACTTTTTGTTGATAAGTAGCTAAATAAATATGCATGTACTATTTAAATGAACAAAGACCTGCTTCTGTGCACAGCTAGGTTCTCTTTCTATTTCCCAGGTAAGACTTATAAGTGCCATAGCCATTGCACAATAGTGATGTTTAATCCACCTGCAACAGCACAGCCATAGTTTCTAATCAATCAGCTGTTTTATGTTCAAAATAGATGACGCCGGTTAAAAAAAACTTTAGAATCATTAAAATTGCTCTGCTTCTTCAGTTACTTAAACGACAAAAATGAGGGTTTTACTTGTCAAACATAAAACAAAGAACATACGTTAAATTTACATAACGCAATAGGGAATGTTTTTCAATTACCATGGACGAATATCACTTCCATTTGCTCTCAAAATGTTCTCTCGCAGAGCCAAACCTGTGTAGAGGTAAAGCAACCACGCCTGAAGACGTGGAGGAGCTCAGCGTACTCGTTTGTCAAATGTAAATTTTTCACCAAAGGAGAACCAAATAAATAGGTAAACAAAACCACAAAGGATATCAGGTTGAGTGAGAAAGGCCTCTTTTTAAACGTACTTACCTGGTAAAGTTGGACTGGCAACGCTGGTAAACATCCATCCCAAATATAAGACCTCAAGACTAGTAGCAAAGATGGGAAAAGAAGGAATAGATAAGCTGTCCTGTCCTGTCAAGAGATCAGATGTAGTAATTACAAGAAAGAGGTTTCCACATAACATATGTTTTTTATGCATCCTAAGTCATTTTTGCATTTTAACTGGTGGGAATGGTGGAACAATTTCAAGTTCACTACTTCTAAGTTCTATCAGAAGCAACACTATCTTTCTTCCCTTATGACAAAAGTGCCAACCATTGGAAAGAACTTGAACAAATAACTTGAAAAGAGTTCAAATATCATGCAGTAACAAGCACGGCACACATGAAAAAGTGACGATACATATGAAAATAAGGTTCTCAAAAGTTGGGCTTGCGTCGAAAAATATCAAGTTCTGACAATGCAGAAGGGGCGTAACATGAACATCGTATAGTTCACCATCTTCTCTTTTTTGCTTTTCTTATTTATTCTTGACAAGTAGATAGAGCATGCAAATCATGCTCACTATCCTTCTATTTCCAACTGACAAGTGGATAGTACATGCAAACCAAAATCATTTTAACAGTAATACAGCTTCTCAAAAGAGCATCAATTTGTTAGATTGATTTATCAACTGCTCCTAAGCTGGAGAAACTAATCACCCACGCTAATGCAGAAGCTAAACACAGCTAGATGGTAAAAACTAAAGCTCGGAAAGTACCCTGAAACTATTGTATTCCTCTTTCACTTTCAGTTGCACATCCTTCCTATTAGCACGAACATTGATTGGTCCCAAAAACATCCTCAAGAATCCTCCTGCAATTGACCAGATCAAGACCGAAAACGACCAATACAATCTTAAATTTAGGCCACACATACCAATACGTAAATCAAACAAATAGAAATAATAACAAGGAAGAAAAAACATGATATATAAGTTCAAATCTTAGTGAAGGCAAAAAACACTTGGTGATCTATTCTTATCTGCCTAAACCTTGGTGGGCAGAGTTACGATCTGTGTGTGCTGGTGGGAGGTAGCGGGTACCGGTGGAATAGTCGAGGTGCTCCAGTCACCACCATCATAAAATAAAAATAGTAATCATAATAAAAAATGGGAAAAAACACACCATGAGATTTGCTCGGAAGAAAAGCAGCAGCATCTCCCTCGCTGAGTACATAACTAGCTTTGAACAACTCGTCTTCCAACTAAAAATCAATAAGCATGAAAAAAAAGGTTAACATAATAAGTCACATCTCTGCAGTACTGTAACAATAGCAAAATACACGTGGAACGAGCACCAAAGGGCAGCAACGCAACATGCATGTACAAATAAATGCACAAAAAATCAACAAAATAATAATACAACACTAAAAAACCCATATTACTTTTTCAGCTTGATTAGAATCCAATTTGCTTTTCCGAACAGATGAACGGAGCTGATGGATGCTCGAATCAAGCGATTTAGCTTTCTGCCGTAACGAATCCTCTTCGCGAGTGGTGCGGGAGATCAAAGAAGAAGCCGCGTCTTGCAATTCCTTCGCTTGTTCCACGATTCCAGAAGCTTCTCCCACAAAATCTCGCTCCCCTGAATTCGTAGAATCGCCCATCTCCGGTAACCAAAATCTCGATCCAATTGTCCAATATTACTACTATTTCACATCCACCGTTAATCCAGTGACATACAAATATGTATATATATTCGAATTAAATACAAATAGATTTTGGTGACCGTGAAGACGCAGCAATAAAGGAAATCTAGAAGAGGGAAGAAAAAGGGGAAACGAGGGTTATGGGGGGGGGGGGGGTAGGGGGTGACACAATTGGAGGTGTAAAGATATATCAGAGATGGGGCCAGCGAGCCAGAGAACCGCTGAGTCTGCTGGCGATAGCTGAAGAGTGAATTTAATTTTGTTGGTTTGTTTTCCCAAAAAAGAGCATTTAATTCATTTTCAGGGGTAATTTTGTGTAAATAATATCCCAAATGTCCTTTATTAGGTGACATTCTTTTCTTTTCTTTTTAAGTAATTTCTGAGAAAAATATATATTACTCCCTCACTTTTAATTTAGATGATTTAGTTTGACCTGGCAAAAAGCTTAAGGAATTTTTTTTTTTGAAACATATGATGCTAAAAGCTTAAAGGCCAAAATCTTAGTGGGGCCATAATATTTGTGTGACTATAAAAGCTTCTTATTAAGAGTAAAATGGGTAGAATGGAAAGTTTAAAGTTAAATTGTTTCTAAATATAGAAATATGTCATACTTTTTGGAATAGATTAATAAGGAAAGTGTGTCATCTAAATTGAAACAAATGGAGTAATAGTTAATACCATGACAAGTCTAAAAAATCTATCTTCTTTAAAAAATTTGGGATCCACCAAAGGTGGTGGTAGAGTTATAGCTTTGGCTAAAATTTTATATTTATGTCAAAAATTTATTAAATATGTATAAATATTATCCTATGCGCATCCGAAGGATAGCATTGCAGCTCCCTTGTTAACAAAAAAAATTCAGAATGTGTGAGTTGCTTCTTTTGCAATTTAGAACTCATAAATTTAAAATTCTAAATCTATCACTCGAGCTAGGCAACTTCACACAAATTAAGACGAAAGAAGTAAAGTACACTAACTATATTTTGGGGCCTCCAAATAGGTCGAACAACTTGGAGACTACAATTCACCAATTATAGTATATAGTCCATAGTCACACGTGTATTTTAGGGTTAGCTTGAAAATTGGGTATGCTAGGTATTAATTTTGGTCTAATATCAAAACCACCTACGTTGAAAAAAACATCTTTTAGAATAAAATAATGCGACAACTAAGATCAATATGATTGTGACGCTTTCAAACTTTAAACACCCTTCATAATAAACAACACTAAAGTGTCAATAATCTTAAATTTGAAGTTCTTATATCAACATAGCCCAATTTAGAAAAGTCCTAGAAATCTCTACCTAAGGGACTTCGCCTATGATTATTGACTGCATTTCTAATGAATATTTAAATCATCATTTGGTTTAATCATATAAATTTGCAATGAATTAACAAAAAGTCTTCAGTTTTCATTTCATACAGAGGAATCAACCTAAATAGCTGTCTACCCAATCACTTAAACCAAATATAACCGGTAGATACATAATATGTGTATAATTCACGTATAATTTGTATATAACTGTATATTATTTATGTATACCGACTAAGAAAAACAAATAGTGAATCGAGCCGATTGTTTGTGTAAAGATCCCACGTAAACTCGATCATTTGAAGGAAAGAAGAGAGGCATCGACTAATTCGAGCCAATAGTGTTGAATCTATGAATTGCAGAAACTGAAATGAGAAGAAGAGAAGAAGAGAAGAGCGATTGAGAAATTTCTATTGTTTCATTAAGCTACTAACTACATTGTTACACGTATATGTAGTTGCTCCACTAGCTGATACAACTAATTGACAGTTGTACAACTAACTCTAAGTGACTAACTAAAGTTTAACTAACTATGGTTAAGTAATACTATCCTTTACACCTCCCTCAAGCTAGAAGGTATGAAGATGTTCTTCATTCCTAGCTTGGACACAAGGTAGTCATGCTGAGCCCGACCAAGTCCTTTGGTAAGTAAATCTGCTTGCTGATCAGTTGAAGCCAAATAGAAAGTAGAGATGAGACCTTGTAGAATCTTCTCGCGGATAAAGTGGCAATCAATGTCTATGTTTGGTGCGCTCATGGAACACAAGGTTTGCAGCAATTTGAAGAGCAGATTTGCTATCACAATAGACAGGTACAGAGGAAGAGTGAGGAACACCCAACTCTTTGAATAAGCCAAGGAGCCACACCACTTCAGCAATAGTAGAGGCTAGGCTGCGATACTCAGCCTCAGCAGAGCTTCGAGAAATAGTAGATTGCTTCGTGGATTTCCAAGAGATGATGGAATCACCAAACTTAACAAATAGCTTGTGACATACTTTCTAGAATTGGGGCATGCAGCCCAATCCACATCACAGAAGGCTGACAAAGACTCAGAACAATGAGACTTAAGCAAAATACCCAACCCAGGACAGTGTGTAATGTAACGGACTACGCGTAAAGCATCGTCCATGTGGGACACTTTAGGTTTGTGCATAAATTGGCTAAGGCATTGTACAACAAACGAAATATTTGGCCTAGTGACAGCAAGATAAAGCAGCTTGCCCAGGAGCCTTTGATAAGGTCCAGGATCATCAAGAGGTGGATCATCAATGAGACCTATATGACCATCAAAGTCACAGCTTATCAACTTTAGATTAGGTTCCATAGTTTAGCACCAGACAAACCCAAGTCTACAATAAGCTCAAGCGAGTACTTCCTCTGATGCATCAAAATCCCTTTAGTACTCCTAGCAAACTCAATACCCAAGAAATACTTGAGCTCCCCAAGTCTTTGATTTTGAAATTCTGCTGCAAATCATCCTTAGTAGCCTGGATCAAGGACATGTCATCACCAGTGATGAGCAGGTCATCGACATACACTAAAACTACTACTATGTGACCATGCAGTCGCTTAGTGAATAAAGAATGGTCCAGATGGCTTTGGTGAAAGCCCGAGGCAATGAGAGCAGAGGTCAATTTAAGATTCCATTGACAGAAAACTTGTGTAAGACCATAGAGTGATTTATGTAATCTGCAAACCAATAATGTATCTCCACGCTTACTGAAACCCTGTGGCAGACTCATATAGACCTCGTCAGTGAGTTCACCTTGTAAGAAAGCATTGTACACATCCATTTGATAAATGATCCAATGCCTAGAAGCAGCTAAGGAAAGAACACTTCGAACAGTCACCATTTTAACTACAGGAGAGAATGTCTCCTTGTAATCCAGTCCTTCCTTCTGATTGAAACCCTTAGCTACAAGCCTTGCATTGAACCTCTCCACTTCTCCAGAAGCCTTATACTTGATCTTATAGACCCATTTGCATCCTATAGGTTTCTTACCTAGTGGCAATGGAACCAACTCCCAAGTATTGCTGTCTTCCAAGGCCTTGATTTCAGCCTGCATAGCCTCAACCCAACGTTTGTTTTTTGCTGCTTCATGAAAAGTGGTTGGTTCAACCTCATTGGAAAATTGAAAAAGATAATTGTGGTACTTAGTGGAGATATAATCATATCCAATAACATCAGATAAAGGATATATGCAATTGTTGGACTGTCCTTGCTTGTCTGGTCTCACATAATCACTAAGCCATATAGGTGGCTTAGATACTCGAGTGGATTTCCTGACAATGTCCTGTGGTGCAATGGGCACAGTGGAGTCATTAACGGGAAAAACTAATTTTGTAGTTGGCATGGATGTAGTGTCTGTCAAAGAAATAGACTCGGGAGAAGGAACAGGACAGTGCACAAGAGGAGTGGTCACCATAGGTGCAGGTACATCTGAAGGAACAGAACAAGGTAAGAAAGTATCTCCTGCTCTGGTTGGACTGGCAGTATTGAAGGACAGGCTTTCAGTAGGAATCTCGGGATTATGGAAAGGAAAGGCATCTTCATAAAAAATCACATCCCTGCTGATAAACAAAGTATTGTGCTGAATGTTCAGCAGTCTATATCCTGTTTGATTTACAGCATACCCAAGTAGAACACACTTCACTGCTCAGGCTGAAACTTATCACACTTAGGCAGAGTTGAGGCAAAGCAAAGGCAACCAATGACTCTCATGTGAGAAAGAGAGGGCTTCCTCTTGTACAGTAATTCAAATGGTGATTTGTTACCAAGAACAGTAGAAAGGATCCTGTTAATTATGTAGACAGATGACTCAATACACTCCCCCTAAAATTTAGTAGGTAGATGGCCTTGAAATTTGATTGCTCTGGCTGTCTCCAAGATGTGTCTATGTCTTCTTTCAACCACCCCATTTTGTTGTGGGGTGTAGGGACAAGAGCTTTGGTGCAAAATGTCATACTGTTGAAACAGGTCTCTACAAGTTGTGTTAAAGAATTCACTACCATTGTCAGATCGGAACATTTTAATTACTTTGCCAAATTGAGTCTGAATCATAGTAATGAAATTCTTGAGCAAAAAAATCACATCAGATTTAAGCCTCATAAGATATACCCAGGTCCATCTTGTATAGTCATCAACTAAGGTGAGAAAAAACTTCATTCCATTATGAGTAGCTGTCTTATAGGGTCCCCATACATCCATGTGAATCAATTAAAAACTACTTACACTTCTACTATGGCTAATTGGAAAAGGTACTCTAGTTTGCCTTGCTAAAGGACAAATCTCACACTTATGTAAAACTTCACATCTAGTGAAAGTAGACATTCTTCTAATGACTTGCATAGGCACATGCCCCAGCCTTTTATGCCAAATATCCCAAGCTTCCTTTGCTACTACTATGAATGCTTGATAAGTCCTCCCTTTCTCTTGTTTAGTTGCAGAAAGCATTGTGTATAGACCATCCTCTTCTCTACCAATCTCCCTCACCTTCTAAAAGACAAAGAATGTGAGAAAGAAAGATGCAAAGCAGTTTAGGTCTTTTGTCACCTTTGACACAGACAAAAGATTGAACTTAAATGAAGGTACACAAAGAACATTCTTGATAGTGTCACCTCCTTTTAACTGATAATCCCCAACATGTGTGACCTTAGCCGAGTCTCCTGTAGGCATTTGTACTTGACCTCAATTACCTACTGACATCTTATTATCTAATAAGTTTTTATCTCCTATCATATGATTTGTAGCACCTATGTCCACAATCCATTTAGGAATGTTAACATTGCAACAGAAAAGATTACCTGCCATTAATGCTACATTCTGAGTAGTCATTTCCCCAAAGGAGGAGTTGTTCAACATTTGCAAAATTTGAGCATACTGCTCCTGAGTGAAAATCTATGGCT